GGTCCAGCTAGTGCACAGGAGGCTTGATGTAGACTGTGTGAGCAGGCTGGGCAATTCTCTGAGAAGAAGATCACTGTGCTCTGAACAGATTGCTCCACAGATGTTGGCCACCACTCTGCAGTCATGCTCCTTAGATAGTCACCTTGGGGATCCTACTGCCTTGGTATAGCACATGCATCTAACCAGGGCTTTGATCTTTAACTTTTCTCCATGCATTGGTGTGTCAGTTTCAGCTCTTGAGACCAATCAGTAATGCTGAGTTTTAAGGAATGCCCACTACTGACAGCTGCTATCAGTCCAGAGGATATTTTTATCCCCTTTAGCCTGGGGAAGTAACTGCCCTGGTCTGAGAGCCAGGAAAGAGAGTTGGCTGCAGCAGGTTAATGGAACCAGAGCAGGCAATGAATGGCAGGGATTCTGTTATTACCAGACACCAGCTTGGCTAACCTCTGTGCCTGTAACTCACACTGGGCGGGCGTGGGGACAAAGGGGTTTCTGAGTTGGTTTTATTCCTCCAGGTGTTCATCATCCTGTGCTAATGACATGGATTTGTGGCTAGTTGAGTCAGAGACAAAAGAGAGGAGCAAGGAATAGACAAAGGCTTGGTCACTTGGCTTTAGAACTGAGGTTAAACCTGTCTCTTGGATGTTAGTTTCCTTACCATACAAGTTAGGGCAGATTTGCCCTAGAGGAGCCTAAATCCTTAGATGAATCCATGCAGTTGTTTCAGCTCAGTTTTTAGGAAACTGGACTTTAGAAAAACCAAAATTGCTACATGCACAACTTTAAATACAGAAAGAGCCACCTTTGTTGTCTGCTGAGGATGGGATTTGAAAAGTCTTCCCTCCCTCAAGTGACTCACAGCAACCTTAATCCATCATGCAGCACCTCCCTCATGCAAGATTCCCCAAAAATGCTTCATCCAGTTGCTTCACAGTTCGGGGGTGAAGTCTGATTCGGCATCGGACAAGTAATCATTGAGGCCAATTCAGTAATAGCACAGACTGTGGGTTTGTAGGTGAAAGGTTGTCTTCTGCCTACTCTTTGAACTTTGCACTAGGTCTCTGCTTTGTAAAAGGAATTCATGGAATGTGAAAGGTGGGCCAGGGATTTAACTCAGGGGCACAAACACCTGGTGAGTGTGAGATCATGAGTTCCATCTCTGGTACAAAAAAAAAGCCAAAGATTTCCTGTAGGTTGGTACAGCTAATTCCAAAGGAGTACACTTTCCACAGAGAGATCTGTTTTCATGGCCAGTGTTGCTTTGTCACACGCGGCATGTCTTTTTCAAGCCAAACCTCAGAGCCGCCACCTGTTTCACCCCAGGCACTGGGCTTAAAATTCTGATGGAGGCCAGTAGGTGAGTGATCATGTTTATTAATAGGCACTGAGGCCCTGCAAGTCTCAGCCGTGGTGACCTGGGATGGGGTCAAAGAAAACACCCTCGTTAGCGTTTTGCTTTTTCTGCAAACACTTGACTATGGAAATAGCAGTTAGCAGCGAGGGAGGCCTCACGCTGGACATGTCCTCTCCCTCTGCAGTCCTGCACACTGCCTGACACTTGTGCTTCTGCTGTTTCATCTTCTAGCACCCTCTTCGGGCCCTACTCTGAGTGACCTTGGTGTCCTCTTCAAGGCTAGAATTGGCTCTTCTCAGTAGCTTTTCCTGATTCCACCCCAGCCTCCAGGCTCTTTAGATGCCCTGTCAGAGCCCTGGGACGCCCTCAGAACCCATTTGCGGCCCTTTCCCTCCTGCAGCTGGGCTGTCTGTATGGGAGCAGGAGTGGGTTCCCTAACTTTAGGGTACTTAGGCCCCAGCCAGGGCCTGACACACAGTATGTGCCCAGTCAGCAGCAGATGCTAGGGCGCCCATGTGCCATAGCTCAGGCCCTTGGGGCTACTGGATCCAAACCAGAGCCAGTTTTTTCTCAGTTTGGATGCTATTCCAGCCAGCCTGATGTCCTCATTACTCCAGGCAGCAGAATGCCCCTTAGGGCAGAAGGGCAGCTTCTTGTGTTCCTTAATAATGAACAGTAGCATATGGGACTCCCTTTTTCTGTGTTCACTGTCTAATTTCCATTGCTTGAATAATTACTCTCAAAGGTAGCTTTTAAAACTACGTTTCCCCCAATATTTTACCTTCTGTTTTTCAAAGTCAGAAAAATGTAGAGTAAGCACACATGATGTTAGTTTGCTTCTGATAGTAAGAAAAACGTTGAGAGATACTGAAAAGAATAAAGAAATAAATGTCACCCCAGATCCCACAGCCTGTGCCAGGTTCTGTATGCTAAAGCTAATTTCTGCCACTGTGTAAGGCTTTTTGTCCTTTGTGTGCACGTGTGTGTCTTTAGCTGCAACTGAAGCCATTCTGTACATTCACACGTAGGATCTTTTTAACTGAAAGCATCTTCATTGAGCGGCAGCACCTGCAGCAGCACTACTGTTTATTGGGTGTTTCTGGGAGGGACTCGATAACTTGCTTGATGAAACTATTTTGTGATGATGGACCATCACCCCCATTGCATGATAAGTGGATTTTCTTTCCTGAACACTGGCGATACTTGTCATTTTTCTCCTCTTCTGCTTCAGTAATCTTGGAGAAAATACTGACAAATCTTTTCCTCTTCTGCAGCAGACATTTAAAAATAAAGTGACTAGGAGTGCAGGTAAATGAGTTCCTTGTAGCAAAAACACATTTTGCTAGTTAATACATGTATTTTTATTTTTCTCCCTTGTGGCATTACTGGAGGTCTTGGATAGGACAGACCATTACTTTTAATCAAATATTCGTTGTATCTTAGCCAGCTCATTTCCCCTTCCTGCCTGTTGTAAAATGCTATTGTAGCCCTGGGGCTGTGTATTGTACCTTCCATTCAAGGTGGAAAGGAGACTTTAGTCCAAAAATATGATCTCTTTGGGTGCTGTGCAGCAGAGGAAAAAGTGTCAGATTCTGTATGTCATCTGGGTGCAGGCCTGGCGGGGGGCGGTGGCAAGACACAAGAGAATGAGTGAGACCAGGGGGTGCCATCTGTTCCCCCAGGTCTGGAAGCTGCCTAAAGATGTGGCTTTTTCAGCATTGGACATGAAAAAGATTGTGTCACACAGGCCCTTATCTCTTTCAAACCTACAATCTTAGAAACTCTTGCCAAGGACAGTAATTTTGGGAGCCTAGGAATGGCCACTCACCTACTGACCCAGTTCCAGTAGTAATCAGGTATTCAGAGCAGTGGCAGTTCACGTGATTGCCAGTCACATCCGTGAGAAGGCTGGCAGGCTGTTTAACAGAACGGGTAAGGCTGACCCACTTGCTGAGGGACTGTTCTGAGTGTTCCCCCTCAGTCTTCCAGATGTACACCACAGCAGCACAGAAACTCCTGTGCAGATGGCCCTCTGGGAGGTGTCTGCAGCGTGTTCCTGCCCTGCAGCCCGCCCTGAGCTAACCTGCTCCCATCACAGAGGCCTTACTGTGGAGAAAACAGTGCAGCCATTGCTCACCAGAGCCCTTCCCACCCAGTTCTGCCTCTCCTCCTACCAGTCATACCCAGCAAGGGCCCCTACTCAGTCAGAGGGCTCACTGTGCTTATCTTGCCTGCCATCTGCCCGAGGAGTTAGCTGTATTATTGGTGGTAGTTTTTGTTTTTATGAATTATGCCGCTCCCCCTCCACCCTTAAGTTCATGTTTCTTGTTAGTAGAGAGAGAAGTAGTTAATGAGTGCAGAGTGTTACTTTCTAATCAATGTATGACTTAAAATTGGGGCCTGGGAGTCACAGGTTGCACCACTTTCTGATAGAGATCATAGCTGCCCCACATGGACTCCCCGCCATTGCTCTGCTGTGAGGTGTGGGGAGTCAGTCCCGGGAGCCCAAAGAAAGGTGGCCTCTGTAGCACACATCGTGTTGTTCAGTACTGATTTCTCCATAAGGTGACCTCTGTGCTCCTCCCCTGGAGAGAGCTTCAGTGCCCTGAATGGATTGTGCCCAGCGGTGGGCCTTGAATCATGGATCACTTGCTCAGAAACCTCTGTCAGCCCCGTCAGGTTACCAGATGTGGCTGCTTCCTCCGTTCTTCCTTCACAGTATTGATCAGCATGTATAGATTTGCTTGATCGTGTAACTTGGCAGTGGTGTTTGTTATGTACCATGTTTCTTGTAGCCAGATTTTTATGGGTAGAACTGTGTCAGTTTTGTGTTTATGCTTCTCTTTGTCAGTTCCCATTGGTTACCTGGGAACTTCATAAATGCTACTGGCTGGGGATGCAGACACCTGTTGATCTCAGAGATTTTTGCATTCAAACCTTTTACATTGTGCATGTTAGCACGGTGACTGTTTAATTGCCACTTACACATTTGTTTCTTCAAGCAACTTCCTTCCCATAGCACTTTATTCTACCACTGGTATAAAGCCTACAGTATGGCTTTGGTGACTGTTTTAAGAGTCCAGCTCACCTGTGCATGAGCACGTCTCCTTGGGTAGAGCGGCCTCCTGCTCACTTTACAGTCCCACTTCTGAGGGACCGAGGGCCTTCCTGACGTGGAGGCTGTTCTGAGGCGGCTGTCACAATTCTGATTGCTGATTATCGAAAGGGTTTTTGCTTTTCTTTTCTTTGCTCTCTGCCCACCCGTGAGGACTAAAGTGCCTGCCCGGTATCCTTTCCTTTCTGTCAGTGACCTTGCATGCACAGATCTAGGCCCTTGCTTTTGGACTCCAGCTTCTGTCTTCCTTTCCCTGTGCATTAAGGAGAGCCAGGACCAGATCCAGACATGCCTGATGCTCTCTTATTTGGGACTGATGGGAAAATCCAGAGCTATGTGGAATTACACAGATCCAGTTGTCAGTCTTCCCTTGAGGGATCCCCCAACCTATCTCCGCTCCTCAGCCCGCTGTTGGGATGGTTCCTGGAGTCCCTCCATGGAGAAGCCCTCCTCCTCAGGCATCCTCCCAAGGCAGCACTGTGTGTGCTGAGCCCTAGGCTGATTGCTGCCCCTTGTATTTACATTCAGGACCGCCTGTTTTTTGTGATGGAGTTTGTGAATGGAGGCGATCTGATGTTCCACATCCAGAAGTCCCGCCGTTTCGATGAAGCCCGAGCACGTTTCTACGCTGCAGAGATTGTCTCGGCGCTCATGTTCCTCCACGAGAAGGGTATCATCTACCGGTGAGTTGGGTGCCTGCCTCCCCGTCTTCTAACTCATGCCCGTCCTTCCGTCTTTCATGATAATCAATTAGTCTTCTGGGGACTAAATTCACAAATGTGGGCTTTTGAATAAATGCGTAACACAGTGACAAACCCTGCCTCCAAAGTAACACTGCCCCACCAGGTATTGATAAAGTAGACAGGCATGGAAGGGATTGTATACAAGTTGATCCCAACAGGGTTTGCTAAAGGCTTGTTTTGTTGTAGCCAAGCCCCACCAGGTACTGATTACTTAACTGTGGTCTTTTCCCCGTTTTAATATGTGGAATGTATTGGTTAGCACGGACCCATTCAATTTTAAGAATTCAATCTTAGATTAATAGTAGGCTTACTGCTGTAATCACAGTCTGATGGGGTGGGCTCACCATGGATCATGGGAGCAGTGCTGTACTTGATTATGTTTCTCACCTAGAGCCCCCTCCCAAAAAGCATTTGATTCCGTTTCATGACGCTTAGTCTTTGAGCATGGTATACCATAATTTGAATGCGCTCAGATCTGATTCATGGTAGAATGTGGTACGTATCAAATGAAACTTTAGTCAGAAGGTTGAGGGATAAGAAGTGAAATAATGAATTTCAGATTATTTTCATTCTTACGGTTTTCTTTCCATGTTGTCAATATGCTTCTGCTCTTTTATTTCTCAGTACTGAGGGCTTTCACAATAAGCTACCTACCCAGCCCTTTTTAAAATTTTTTATTTCACAGCAGGATCTTGCTAAGTTGCTCAGACTAGTAACTTGTAATCCTTCTGTCTCAGCCTCCCAGAGTGCTAGAATTAAGAATGAATCACCAGACCTTTCTTTCTGTTCTCTAAATCACATTATAATGCAGTTGCCACCTATACTTTTTTTGTTTCTCTTATGATGCAGTTGTTTTCCTTTGACAAAAGCTCTTTTCTATTTAACATTTGCTATAGTGAATAATTCCTGATTAAAATTTGCTACTGGTTCGGCTTGCTAAATGCCGCATCTTCTACAAGCTCACAGCAATGTTGCCATCATTATCAAAGTGTAAGAGAACTTTAGAAACTGAATATTCTTAAATACTCTGAAAGTCAACATAGGAAGGAAGTAGGTAGTGAGACTGGTAAAGAGGATGCCAGAAAAAAGTGAGAAACTAAGTATTGTAGTCAGGGGTTGTGAGGATAACAATTAGAATCAGGACACAGAATTTATAATATTATTTATGATGGTCACCCAGAGTTTAACACAAGAAAGTACAGGAAATCTGTCTACATTCAGCCAAGGGCCTGGATCCCACAGCAATGTCCTACATGAGTCCAGAAGAAAACCTAGAACCATGACAGTGCCTCACATGAGTCCAGCTGGATGTCTAGAGCCTATGAGAAGGACTTACACAGTCTGGGGAGTCTGGACTCCATGCTGGGGAGGCCCAAAGGTCAGCAGTGGAAGCCAGAAAGTCTATGCCAGCAGGGTGAAGGAATTGTGCTGATAGGTTGAGGGTTCTATACTGGAGCCGAGACTCCAGGGCTGTCTCGGCTCCAGTGACACTCACACCAGGGCTGTCCTGAGAAGCACCTCAGCCATCCTCAGCAACACAGAGGTCCTAAGCTTCTCCGACAATAGGAACAGTTGAGTACATGCCAGAAGGCCAGCATGATGAGTTTTTCCTGGAGATTAAATGACACTCGTCTTCCTCTCTGGAGCCAGGAAGTGATGCTCAATGTAAGGACCAGAGCTCCCCAAAAGTGAACCACAACCCCTCTCACCAACAAGGTCTCAAGCTCCTCTGATGCACTGGTCGAACTTACACTGGGGAAGCTAGTCATAATGAGCTCCTCCAGGAGAACCAGCAGCTCAAACAGCAACACTTAGAGAAACCCACAATGCCTAGCTTCTCCTTTTCCATGTCTCTATTTATGCAGGCAAATTTCCTCAGGTGAATCATCTACGCTCAGCACATTCTGATATAATTCAGCTGGCGTTAAGTTGACCACCAGTTTTTAATTTATAACATAAGGCAGTACAGCAGATACCTCATAAGGCAGAGCCCTTGAACCTTAGCTAGATGTAGCCTTGTGCTCACAGACCCAACACTTTGAGGTCCAGAGTGTGCAGAGTTGGGAGCCAGGCCTGGAACATGCAGGGGAAGCATCTGCTTACAGATTGGTAGTAGTGGGCCCACTGAGTCAGGGGGTCTGGCCCAAGTGACTTCAGGTATCCACGTTTTCTTGCAGGCTGTGGTGTCCTCCGGGTGGTTCTGTTGAGGGCTTTCCCTCTCTCCACTCTGCTCAGCGTGTGATTTGTAATGGGTTAAGTAGTTGACAGCTCTTGCCCATAGTGGTGGTCTGCTCGGGGCAGTGAATCTGCCGGGCATTCACCTCTCCCCACCTTATCCATTCCTCTCTGCTCTGCTCACCCCAAAGGGAGCTTATCCACAGTCCGTTTTTAAAAACAGTGACTTCTGTGCTTGACAGGGACTTCTGCTATAAATCAACATAGTAATAATACAAGCAACAAGAGCTAAACCAAATGCTTAGTACAGTACCAATATTTGCCTCTATTTCTGCCATAATCCTAACAGTGTTATTATAGAACAGCAACATTATTCACTTTGTTTGGGTGGGTAATTAAGGCTTAGAAAGCCTTCATTAATAACCAGGCTGTGAGCCGGAATTCTGTGAAGCCAGAATTCAAATCATGCTTTTAATCACTGAAGTACGCTGGCTTCTCCGAGAGACTTAGAGATGGAGGCAGGAAGCTGGCTTGTAATTCCCCTGAACTCAGGAAAACGAGGCAGAACAGGGAGAACAGCAGGGACTGAGTCAGGCTTCCTTGATGGCTCAGGGTTTTATGTAAGCACTGGCTTGCCTGGTGCAAGACAGCAAGCTTGCTTTCCGCCATGCATGTCCCTATGTCTGCATTCCCTGGTTGCATTTGTCTTGTGATGCAGAGAGTGTGGGCGCTGTAACTGCTGTCGCTTCTGGTGAAGCAGTATCAGCTCACATCTTGAAGCTTTATTTCGGTTCATGATATCTGTGGTTCAATTCTGAGAAACAATTTTAACTTACTCTTGGACTTGAATCCCATGTTCAGGCTTCAACTGATATGACTGACTTTGAAGTGAGCACATGTAATTAGGATAGATTCCAATGCTATTTTGGTCTTGGGGATTTATTACACAGGATAATTTCATTCCATTCAGGCTGATAGCTGAGACCAGATTCTTAAGGGTAAGGCTTTGAAAGCCGAGTCATTGCAGTTCACACATTTCAAGGGCACATTTGAGAAAGGGTTTGAATTTGACTTAGGAGCCCAATAAGAAACTTGGGAGCATCAGAAAGCCTCAGGAATCATGCAGGGCCCAACATGTCTTTATCAGATCTCTCTGGAAGGTGCTTCTGACCTGTCTAGTTAGAATGGGTTTTTTTCCCCTAGGAATGTGTTCATAATTTACTTTCCATCAAGTTACAAAAATGGTGCCATCTGCAAGTCCTAATGAAATAAGACCTTAGAAGGTAGAGCCTTCAGTGCCTCCCAACATGTGATAAAGCCTGGATGGGATGAGACAGGCCAGCCACACCTGTGTGACTCTGCCTCTCAGACTCGACATGCTCACTTGAATTTTGTGGAGCAACTGAAGCCCAGGCCCAGGAAATACAGTAGAACGATCTGGCTTTTTTCCTTTGGTTGGAAAAATTCTGGAAACTACCACAGCCAGAGCTCAAGGAGAGCAGGCTGAAAGTGGGCAGTGGAAGAGCTGCTTTGACCAAGGGGAAAGAGCCTGTCCATCCCTGTGTCCTGGGCTTGTTGGCTGATGGGGAGCCCAGACGGTGCTCGTGAATACTTTGTGTATGACATAGACTTCTCTCCACCCACCCCCCCAAGAATCAAATCCTACAGAAAAGTTAGGAAACAAAGAGGCGTGAAGCCCATTTCTCAGCTTTACTGGCATCATTTTCTATCCCATTTTATAGCTTGCATTAAAGAATTCACCCATCACCAGCATTTTAATTTCAGACTCTTAAGCCAGCCAGCACACATTTGATTTGCTGTTTCTGATGAAGCAAGGAGTGTATCTAAAATACATTGTGTACAGAAGAGCTCAGAGGAGAGCACAGTTTAAATTTTGGTTCCTGCTTCTTGTGTTACATTGAGCCCTTGAACACACTTCCCAGCACGTGGGTCTGGCCACTTGGTGTAGTCATCATAATCCATGCACTGACTGTGGTATTCCACTACTCCATTTTCCAGATGTGGAACCAGCCCAGAGAGCAAGAGTCAGCCCCAGAGGCTGACTGTCAGACATGACACATTGTCTTCCACTCTTATTCTTACAGAGCTCATTAACTTATAGAGAAACTCACCTTTGATTTCCTCTCCAGTTGAGAGAAATCTTCATCTCCCACTCCATCTCCATCTTCTTTTTCCTCCTCTTCCCGCCCCCCTCCCTTCCCCTTCCCTCTGTCTTTTGGGAAGACTAACAGTGTCCCAAGAGAAGTTCTGTTAAGCTAGGCTCTGAACATCCTAGTTGGAACTGTGTGAACATGTGAGTCTTTGATGTTATCTACTTAGTGTTTCTCAAGGGCACACAAAGGGCCTTTGGTGTCTCTCAGACTCCAGAAACCCATACATTGTGGACTTTGCTGGGATAGCTGTGCCTCACATTTCCCTGGTGAGGTCACTTTGGTGAGCGTGACTTTCTTGGCTAGGTATTCGTAAGGGCTGCGTTTCCGGGTCACCTTGTTGGCAGTGTTGGATGTGACATTTCTCCGTCAGTGCCATCTGCAGCTGTGCTCTTCTGGAGCGGTGGCAACAACTCGTCTCCCCAGTCCCACGGCCCTGTCTTATTCCTCAGTGTTTCTTAGCTGGCTTTCGCACTCCCCGAGTAGCTCTCATTCAAGCCTGGAATTTTGGAACCTTATTATTTATTGCCTCATCTAGGTACAAATCAGTCCCTTATTTGTGTTTTTTCTGTTTGTGCTAGTGAGAATATTTTT